CGCCAGGGAGAGAGGAGGGCTGGCCCACCGCTGGCTTCGGCCTCCTTCCCCAGGGGCCGCCCAGTGCCGGCACTGGGCATCACACACCTGTGCCTCGGGACCGGGGTGCCGGAGGTCAGAGGTCAGTGACCTTGTTCTCGAGGGCCGCGGCGATCTGCTGCAGGCGGTAGGCCAGCTGCATCTTCTGGGCGGCAGGGTCCTCCTCCAGGGCGTTGATGATCTGAGGGAGGCTCCGGTCAGCCCCCAGGCGGGAAGCAGGCTGCCCAAGCGCCTCCCCCGACCTGGGGCGGGCGGAACCTCCTACCTCGTCGTAGTACTTCTGCGTGTACTGGTAGAGCTGGTGCAGGGCCACGAGGGTGTTCAGGGAGTCCGTGTGCGCCTGGGGGAGGGGGCGTGTGACCCAGGGGAGTAAGCATGTGGCACAGGCAGACACGAAGGGCCACAGCCTCACAGCCCTCAGACACGGGGCAGCCACACACAGACGCATCCATGCAGGGGCGTGGCCCACACGGCTGGCTCAGAGCTGACGCCACCCCCAGTGCACGCACACCTAGTCCGTCACACATAGGTGCCAGCCCACCCGGCCTCACCCTCCGCCTCCCTCCCGAGGGCACGACACACCTCCCCTGCGCCCCTTACCCGGGAAATCTCCGCCAGGTGTGTGTTCATGTCCTGGTCGCTGACCTGCACCATCTGTCTGATCCCCTTGTAGTAACTGTGGGGGAGGGGGGGGCACAGTGGGTCCCAAAGGCTGGACCCAACGCTGCCCACCAGGGTGCTCCTCCCCCAGAAACCCCGCCGGGTGGGGGCCGAGAGGTGGGGTCACTCACTCCTCCACCATCTTCTTGTAGGTAGAGATCTCCTTGGCGTAGAGCAGCTTGTTGCTGGGCGAGTCCTGTGGGGCCACAGCCAAGTGATGCCCAGGCCAAGGTGGGCTGGCCGGTGCCCCTGCCCTTGGGCCCCGATGGAGCCAGGCTGGCCCCGTCCAGGAAAAGCAGGGGCAGCACCCGCCCAGCCAGACCTGACCACGCTGACACTGGTTTGGGATCTGGACTCAAACTCGCTTTCTCCGCCTGTGTCAGCAAAGGGTCTGCACGGGGGTGCGGGAGGAGGGGGAGGACAGGGGTGCCAGGCCGCCACAAAGCCCATCACGCCCTGGCTAGTTTGCTCAGTGGATAGAGCACTGGCCTGTGAACTGAAGGGTCCTGGGTTCAATTCCAGTCAAGAGCACAGGCCTGGGTTGTGGGCTCCATCCCCAGTAGGGGGCGTGCAGGAGGCAGCCGATCAATGATTCTCATCACTGATGTTTCTATTTCTCTCTCCCCCTCCCTTCTTCTCTAAAATCAATTAAAAAATATATCCTTGGGTCAGGATTAGATAGGTAGGTAGGTAGGTGGATGGATGGATGGATGGATGGATAGATAGGTAGATTAGATAGATAGATAGATAGATAGATAGATAGATAGATAGATAGATAGATAGATAAAGATTCTCTCAGACTATTGTGCAGACTCAGAAGCCCCATGATCTGCTGTCTGCAGATGAAGTCCCAAGGAAGCCACGGCTCAGCTTGTGCTCCGTGCGCGTGCAGGCGTCCATGAAGGTCTGCGCGATGACGGACAGCGAGGCGTCGACCACCTCGTGGACGTGCACGTCAAAGATGAAGTGGGGGTTCTTGAGGATGTTCACCCAGAACCGGAGCGGTAAACTGCGGCAGAGCGAGAACGGGTGAGGGGCTACTGAGGC